CGGGTCGGGCCGGGCCCGGCTGACGCGCTCTGCCGCTTACCTTGCAGAGGGTCGGGCTGCAGCTGCGCGCCACGCTGGAGAACATCACCCGCCTGCGGGCCGAGGGGCAGGATTTCCGCTGGTACCTGAAGGTGCGGGGAGCGCGGGGCCCGGGGGGCTGCCCCGGTTCGCAACGTCTGAAGTTCCAGCGTTGGTCAGCGCCTCCGCTGGGGAGGTGGTGACCCGGTGTCCGTGGGCAGGGAGCCCTGGAAAACGGTGGGATGTGCTGTTCCCATCTTTTATTTCGTGTCCATGCGTTGTTTCCACCCAGTAGCCAGCAGGTCCTGTCCTGTCTGGGGCCCTGTCGGGATAGACAGCACCTCCTACCTGCCTGTGAGGGACCAGCTTTGGGAAATAGTGTCGAAACCCCATTGTAGCCCCTCAAAGTCTCAGATGCATCCCAAAAGGCCTGCCTGGGAGGATGGAGCCCGCCGGGATGGCCTGCATACCCTGCAGAGATGTGACCTTGAGTGTCACCGCACCTTAATCTGATCAAGGGGTATTGGACGGACCATGATAGATTTACTGTGGGAAAAGTCCAGGTCTGAGAGAAGGATTTTGGGCCCAGCCACACGTGGGCTCCTCTCTGAAGGAGAAAGCAAGGGGTTCAGTCCTCATCTCCCTGGGCTGCCCAGTCTGAGTTGTGACACGTCCAGGACTGGACCCAGCCACACCCGGGCTCCTCTGTTGCAGCAGGGGTTTAGAAAGCAAGGGGAAAGTAAGCAGTTCTAACCTTCCTGGGTTATTAAATCCTGTCACTGCCTCTGGCTCCTCTCCAGCTTTGGGAGAGCTCACATCAGCTCTGTCGGCTCTTAATCATCCCTGATGATTGACAGCTGCAAGTTCTCTGATATATGCTTGTTTTTCAGCTAAAATGTGGGAACTGCGGTGAAGTTTCTGAAAAATGGCAGTATCTGTGCTTGATGGTACGTGTCCCTGTTGTAACCTGCATCAGAGCAAAGAGAAAACAAACCTGCCTCTGACAAGGAGGTGATACTGACATCAGGGATGTGACAACTTGCACTTCAGTTGAGATAGTAATTGTAACAGACACATGCATTCAGGAAATGCTGCCATTTTCCATATTCAAAAAAGTATTTGAAAACTGAAAAAAGCAGGATAAAATTTGTCCAGGGTAAGAGAAGTTGCTGTTCTTAGGAATAATCATTCCTTTTTGTTGCATACTGCTGAATGGCAAGAATGTATTTTGAGGAATTAATGAAACATGCCTATGTGGATAAGATGTAACTGTCCATTACTGGTTTTAGTCTAGAACAGCATTATTCTTTGATAATCACAGCTTTCTGAATTATAGAACTCTCTAGTTTGTGTTTTGTTGGTTTTTTTTAAAAAAAAGCCTTCTCATTGCAGTATTTTCTACAAGTTAAAGACCATTCTTGTAAAAACTACTTTACCTTTGCAAAGCCTTCCAGTGGCTCAGCTAGAGTGCAGTTAAAAATGATGTCTCTCTTCTCATGGTTTTTAGGACAGTGCTCCCCTGAAAGGAGGCAGAGGAAGTGCCTCTATGGTGCAGAAGTGCAAGCTGTGCTCCAGGGAGAGCTCTATTGGTAGGTGCTTAGAAATTTAAGAGGCATCATCCATTATACACTTTTTTTCATAAGTTCATTTTTCGGTCCCCATTTTTGTAAAGAGGGATTTTTTTTGTTTCCTAGTACACTATTGCTTGAGTTCACAACAGGTACACACTTGTCATCATGCTCTAGCATTTTACACAAGCATGCAATTTCTTTTCCCCCCATTGGCAGGGTAACAAAATGGTGTCATGTAAACTTCTCAGAAGTGAGAAAAATGCAATTCTACCTTTTGAGGGCCAATTCTACCTTTTAAGAGCCAACTGCAGGAACTGCTTGGTTACTGTGTTTCTTTTACTTTGTATAATGAAATTTCTTCAAAAGAAGCAGCTGGTGCTTGGTTTGTACTGAATGAAACTGGACATCATGCCACTCACGTTCACACTTCTGATTTTTTTTTAGATATTTTAAGTCAGACAATCAAGCCTTACAATGTAAGTTTGTTTTCTCTTTTATGTAACAAGTGAAAGATGAATAAGCATGAATAATATTTCGATTTTTCACTTTATCACATTCCTCTTTTAAGAACAAAAAAGCTGGTATTTTCCCCTGATGGAAAATTGTCTCTTGAAGACTCCTGCACACAGCATCAAGTGAGAATAATCTGAAACATTTCATAAGCAAAACACAAAATTGTATCACTGAAATGAGAGGCTGTTATGTAATACCTGGATTAGTCTCCTCTTGAAGGCTTCCTTGTGGCAGATTAAGAAATTCTAGTTAATTGCCACCTATTAAATGAGCCCTAGGATTTTGCTGTCACTTGGGACATCAGAGTGGATAGTACTGCCTTTTAAAGCAATTCATCCTAGTCTAATGCTTGTCACTTTCTCTATTTGATGAAAGCTAATGGACTTCTGACTCAATTACAGGCTGAAGACAGTGAGAAATTCAAAACAATAGTGGAGTTTGAATGCCGAGGTCTGGAACCATTTGACTTTCAACCACAGGTAAGTTCTAATTCTTGATTTGTTTCTCAGTTTTTAAGAGCACTTCTTCCAGACCCTAGAGTGATAAAATATTTTGAAATGGCACTGCTCTTCCTGGAATGTCCTAGACCTCCCCAGTTTTCCACACTCCCCACAGGTCTTTCTTTTCCTTCATTTGACTCCAGAAAATAACCCCTCAAGCAGCTACTGCTAACAGCTCTGGTATTCTCTGTGCCAGTAAAATCTGAAATTAAGTATGCCATGGAGTTGTATTCAAATTGCCATACAGGTGACTGAGCACTGCTCATCTGAATTCATTTGAAAGGTCCTCATGGCTCAGGTTATTGCAAAAGAGAGTCTTTCCCAGAGGAGGATTGCCTGAGTGCATCATTAGATGGCCACATACAGGAGAGAACCACTTTGCTTCTCGGTATGTTACAGAGAGCAAATGAAGTCCAGGTTATGCACAGTCTTCAGTATATGGCCTCTAAATAAAAATCACATTGAGATTTGCCATCACCAAAGCCATAGGAAATTAATATTGGCATTTTTCCATTTGAAACTTCACCAGGCAGACTGAAGATCAACAGCAGTTAAAGATTGTTGTGAAGCACACCTCAAGGTTCAGAGTTACAGGATTTCTTCAGGGCCAAGGCAGTCTTCAGTGATTCATTTGGTTATGCATGGTCATGCTGCTTGCAAGCTAACTCCTTGCTATATTTAACCTATTATTCCAGTCGGATTAGGTGTAAATAGACTGACAAATATAAACCTGTCTTATCCTTCCCTCAGACTGTGACACTATGCTAAGAAACAGACCAAAAAAGCTCATCCTTCAAAGAATATATTATAAATAAAATTAGTAATGCAGTGTGCTGGGGGAGATCCTCTTTTCTTTATGTATTTCTTTAAAATAAAGTACTCTTTAATTCTCTGATGTACACCCTCTTTTCCTACCTAGCAGCAGCAACAAATTCAAACTAGGTACCTGTGTGTTCTAATAATGGGCAAGGTCAATTTTTTCCCCAATTACTTCTCTTTCTCATTTAATGTGCTTAAGCAGATACATCTACTGCAAATCTGATGTATATTTTTTTGTTTTACTTGAGGATAGTTCTCCTGTCCTTGTCCCTCAGTGCTTCAGCCAAAACCAAGGAGTTTTTTTAAGCTACTTTGCTTTGTGGCACAACCAGTGGTTTCACTGGGAACAGAAGTGTAACAATTCAGTGTGTGGTAAAGTCAGCTGGCATTTTTGTCTCTTTGGTGTGTGTGTTTATGCTTTAGCTCCTGGCCAGTCAGCAGAGGGCAGACAAGTCACTGCATGTCCCTGCTGCGGGTTAAACGTGTCTCTGCTCTGAGGCCAAAGCTGTGAAAAGGCAAGTCCTGCCGACTGGTACACAAGCTTGTAATTCCAGTCACAAGGCTTCTTGTTCCTTGGAAGGCTAGTGAAGACCCGCAGGTGGTGAAAGCAGGGTTTCTTTTATTTTTCTGGTCTGTGTTCTGTACTGCAACTCTGCTTTTTTTTGTCCCATGATACTGATCTTCCTCTCCATCCCTTGGAGTTCCCTTGGGATGGGCTTCTGGCAATTCTGGGTAGGCCACATCCACAATGTGCCTTGCAAGTAGCTCACCCCTTGTGATGTCTGCTACACTCCATGGTTTATTAAACTCCCCAGTGCTTAACCTTCCATTCAAATCCCAAAATATTTAAAATCATGTGGCTTACTTCACACATTCTTGTGCAGTTAAATGTCTGGCTGGCACTAGTGCTGATTTTCTTATCAAAAATGCCAGTGTAGATCCCTTGCGGAAAACCAGGAAGAAGCAACCTTTGCTCTTTAGCCACTTAACAAAATTCTGCAGTTAAAAATGGCAACGGAATAAGCTTTCCTGCATGCTACAGAGGTGGTGGCGATTTTTACATTTACTTTTAAAAATAAGAAAACTTACTTTGCAGTTTGATAACTGTGAACCCTAAAATGAGAGAGCTGTTCCTATAGAAAATGAACCAGAACCCCTTGCTCTAGTGCTGTTTCTTTCCTTTAACTCTTTAAACACAGCAACAGTAACAATAGTGAATAGTGAATACTTCTGAAATGAGTTTGGGTATACTCATCTGGTCCAGATCCTCCTTTCACATAAAGCTTGTTAGTCACTTCTGTACCTAAATCAAATACTGGCTGCTCCTTCTCTAGAGTTTCTTGGATTCTGATGATACTTAAGCAAAAAAACTATTAACTCCCTTCCACATTTTCTTTCTATTGTTTTCTTGCAGTGTAAGTTTATTATGAAGCTATTTCATACATAATGCCTGTATGGACACTGAACACAAATTAAAGCTATTAGTAGTTGGATACTGCTACATAAATATTATCTAGAATACTTGGAAATACCTTTTTTGGCAGGAAAAATAGAGCAGCAGTGTTCCTTCTTTTCACCCTCTGGTTGCTTAGATTGAATTTTGTCAATCCACAAAAAGGGTCACAACCTTATACTGACCCTTAACCAGTAAAGAGTTTGTCCATTCCTTCTACCTAATATAAAAGAAATACAATAAAAATTTGTGCTGAGTAACTTCCTTTCAACATCTTTCAATGATCATATTTATTTGGTACAACTTACTCTTAAAAACTTACTGCAAATGTGTTTGCAGGCAGGGTTTGCTGCCGAAGGTGCAGAATCTGGCACACCTTTCAATGACATAAACTTGTTGGAAAAGGTATGTTTTCTTTGTTTCATTAGTAACTCTAATTATGTAGTCCAAAATACACATTGTGAATGTGCAAGAGACTAGTTTGGCTCTTTCATGTAGGCACAGGAAGGACAGAGCTAGAGAGAGAAAAAACACTATGAAGAACCAGCATTATTAATGGTGTCATTTTAGAAGTACACCTTTGATAGCTTAGCAGCTGACAAAGGTAGAAATGAAAGTTTTCTTCCAAGTGACTCAGGAATTCCACAGAGCAAGCACTTGGAATACTGAATGGCTGGGGTTATTTAGAGTGGTGAACTGATTTTTCTAGGAAGACTTTTTTTTCTTGTGCACAGAGATATTAAAAAGTAATATAAAGACACTGTCCTTCAAAACTCAGGATGATGACTCCAGCATTGCAAATCTTCCTTGGCTGTGAGCAAGAATCTCAAGGTCAAATCTGTTCCCTGGTATCCTACTTGGCAGGGATCTTCTTGTCTGCTTACCCGCCTGACTAGGGTATTGTAAGTGATAGATAATCCTTTCATCTGCTGTGGTTGCTGGCTTGTCCACTACAGACTGTGGACTACATTTGAAAAAAATAAAAATCATTGTTAAAAGACTAAGACTGAAGCCCAGTGCTCTTGCTTCTCTCAGATACCAGAACTGAGCTTAGTGACTACATAGTGCTTTCCACAGAAATCTAAGACCCAGACTTTGAGGAAGGCTTAGTTTCAGTATAAATTCCAGTCTGTGTTTCAGACACTTCCATTCTATCCTCTGTGACTAACATTGTGAAATCTTCTTTCCTATAGGATTGGAATGACTACGATGAAAAAACAAAGGAATCTGTTGGAATCTATGAAGTTACTCATAAATTTGTAAAATGCTAAAGGTCATAACCCTTATTGAAGAAGGAGCTGAAACCATCAGAGGTGCAGTTTCCTCAGTTACTTTTCCCACAGCTGTACTTCAGAAATTTAAAACTAAATTGTACTTATTATCCCCAGCTGTCCTAATAAAATATTTTCCACAGAGCCCTTTTGAGATGGCTTCAGTGCAAACTGAAAATAGTATATACACTTGACTGAACTGTGCCATTTTCTTAATCTTGTCTTTTTTGGGAATATATATAGTTGTGATGGACTGTGGCTTTACTGTATGAACAGCAGACAACTTAAGACAACTTAAAGCTTTTAATAGCCTATCACCAAGAAGTAGCCACATTTGATTCTCTAACATAAGCAAGTACGGTCTTTTCACTCACCATTCCTATCATCAGGAAATGGCTTTCAATTTAGTAAGGGACTGTGTTAACTGATTAAGGAAAAAGCTATGTCTTTAATAGCTGCCAGTTCAGGTACAGACACTGAGCTGAGTTCCCTGAGAACACTGAAGAAGCTTGGCTGCTGTTGACACACACAGCTGTTACATCTTCTGAACATGGGAGTATGTCATGAAGTAAACCTCACTCATTTCCAGTTCAAGGCAGACCTTCTACTTCCTGGCAGGTGTGCTCACAATCTTGCCGGCTGTTCTCATGTTTTTAAAAAAACCCAAAAAAACAAACCCAACCAAAAATACAACCCCCAAAACCTTTTTTCTTTAATTTCATTCAAAGACTTGGTCTGATATATTGTTTCCTTCATCACCCCAAATTATCACTTTCCTTTCTTTGTTTCAATGAGCAAGAACAATCCTGGTATGTTTTTAAGTAAATTTTAAAATAATCCTTTTCAACTGAAAAACAAAACAGCACATTACAGGCTGCCAAGGAAACAGCCCTGACTAGGACAAGTTTATAATCTGTTATGCTTACATATTTAAAGCATGCCTCTCCCTTTCCTAGCACTTGCACTTCATACTTAAAGATACAGTGTTGCTAACACTTGCTGTGTTAAAGAAAAAAAAGACACTGGGAGAACCTGGAAGCCAAGACAGCAGAAGGAAGAGTAAAGGCAAGTAAGTTTCTGAGCCTCTGAACCTCATCTGTCGCATCCAGCCAAGATGTTCAGAATTCCATCTGCTAATGCATTTGGTTGTCAAGGTGGGGCTGTGCTGACAGCCATGAGCACAGAAGCAGCACCACTATGCTGTTCAGCTCCAGAGGAAGACCAGTCTTCCCAGAAGAAAAGCAGAGTGGGAGATGTCAGGGTTGAGAAGACCAGAGGAGTCCCAGTTACACACACCATAGCTGTGCAAAAAAGGGTATCTTGTACAGTGGGCAACTGTGTTGTGCTCCCAGCAACTCCAAGCACCTTTGGCTTCTTGACTGATAAAGGCCCCTTCCCTTTTGCTACCACCTGCTTCTTAGCTGGCAGAGTCCCAGCTGTGAGCAGCACACAGGAACTGTCTGCAGCAGCTCCATCTTGCAGTGACAGCATCACTCAGTTCTGTTGCTGTCTATGCTCAAGCTCTCCTGCAATCCCTTCAGAGTTCCCAAAATCTTCACAACTTCTGCAACATGTCCTGATGCATTAAAGATGCATCTCTAGGCACTAAGACTCTGGCATTTGCTACAATAAATGATATCCTAAGTTCCAGCTGATAGAACAAGGAGGAAACAGGAGAATGTTCTGTTGGGACTACTTTTCCACAGTAAGAGGGTTTGAAAAGAGAGCCCCAATAAATTTTCTTTTTTAATGCACAAGAGTACATGTCTATGTAGCAAAGCAAAAGCAGATTATTGGGCAGACTTCATGGATGGAAGGGGAGAGCCAACACTCCAGTGCTCTCTGCAATACTCTCAGTAGTATTCTTCTCAACCTTTTTAAGAAATGAGCTATTGATAAATTACTGTATAATTTTGATATGGAGATAAAATAACTTTCTGGTTATTAATAGATAGCTTTATTACAATACAGTCTTTTCCAGTCAATTTAACAACACAGTTGGTGATTGCAGGTTACTTAAAGCCTCCCACTTCATTTTTTGTTTCTCAAAAAGCTGTTACAGTAGAAAGAAAGGCTTCAAGCAGTTGAGGCACAATCAGTTCTGGTATCAATTCAAGTTTCAAGAGAAAGGTTAAGTGTGACAAGTTAGCAAGAGTGCAAATGTAACCAGTCTTTCATATAAAAATGACTGTTGTTTTTTTTTTTAATCCAACACTTTAAGAGGGGTATCACAGTGCTGTTGTCTGCATGAACACTCAGGGAACACAGATGTTCTGAGTTCATAAACTCGGCAACAATGCTTTTCATTTTTAATTATGTGGTTTAAGAAGACATGGATCTGTTGGAGCCATGAACCTGTTACTTCATTTTGACATCACGAATGTTTGTATTTCCTGAAACATGCATTCAAAGTTTGTACTTGATTTTTTAAAAACAGATAAAATTTCATAGTGAATCTAACAGCATCCAAGTTCAACTAAGATAAACAAAGCCAATTAAGCTGGGCAGCCTCAGCCACACTGAACACTGATTAGCATGTCAGTTAGACAGTCTGCATTTTTTACTGCAACTGTATAGAGTTTCAACATTTTTTTGTCTAACTACCAATTTTCTTGCCCTTTAAAACATTAAAGATATCTTCTAGTGACTTGTGTATACACTGAAGGAATTCTTTACCATTCCTAGCTGGGTAAGAGGAAACGTTACAACCTATCCAGTCATCCTGTACCTGATACCCTACTCCAAAGCCATCAGCCACCACTGGGCCAAACCCTCCTAATTGCACAGCTGGGCTAACCAACGTGCTTGTAGATATGATGTTGTGATTAAGCTGAGCATAGGCTGGATCTTGATAGAAATCAGGGAGTGCAATACCTTTGGATAAGGCTAAATGGCGCAGGCCGAAGAGATGTCGGTCAAACCCCTGACCTGTTAAAATAAAGCAACAAGTATTAGAGAGATGACTTTGTGGGAAGTAAACTCATTTATTTTGACATCACCTTCGCTTTTAGCCACAGAAGAGGAGGTCTACAGAACTGGATTTAATTTTCCTATTAGCAGAAACCATTGTTCAGATCCCAGACATTCTGCACTTGCAATGCACACATCCTAAGGCACGAGCCTCTACCAGGAACCATGATAGTAAGCAAAAGTGCAATTTTAACAGACTATTCTAATAATACATCACATTCTTTGATTATTTACCTGAATACATCCAGGTTGTTTAAAACAAATAAAGGCTTTCCTAAATCTAGAGAGGAATAAGATCTGACATCAACAAAAGGAGGCAAATTTTAAACTCTATGGGGTTTTACTGAAATAATCAAAATTACTCTTTGGGGAAGGACGATTCAAACGCATTTAAAAAATAGCAGGAGTAGCACATGCAAAGAATCAGTTTGATTTGGAAGTTGCTCAAGCCTTTATACCCTGCAGGGATAAGATAGTAAGTCCTCAGACACAAAGCCAAAGTTCTTGGTTGCCTCGAGAAGTACAACATGCACTAAGTATTTGTCAAATATTCAAATAACCCAGCTGCTATAAGAACAAAAATGGAAGGATAAAAAACTCCTCAAGATGTTAACAGTGAAGTGGAAAGCACAGAGGCATTCTCCTCCACCCAGAAATGAGTTTTAGAGAATGCATTTTAAACTGCACCCTTCTGCTACTGTTTTTGTCCACTTTATATTAACATTAGACCTCCATCAAAATTAAAATTATTTAGTTGTGAAGTAAACATTTACAGCAACATTAACAGACATTTTAGTGCAAAAGCAAGTGTCTGATACATTCCTACTTACCCATAGCAGCTTCCTTCGTCAAACGGCCGTGGTATTTTGAACACTCCACAATCAAATTCTGAAGCTCTTCTGTGCTGTGTTTGGACAGTTCCCTGACAAAAGCTTCCGAACATTTCTTTGTATGGACAGAGGCAGGACGTATAGTTTCTGTGCGGCCGTGCTTGAAAGCTGCAGTGCTGCAAGACTCATAGGAAGCAACAGTCTGACCGTATTGCCGAAGGAAAGCCATCTGGAAGGCAAGCTGAGCCACAGCATCTGGACTTACCTTCTTCTGCTTTAGAAGGTCTTTGCCCCCTTCATGGAACTGAATCATATTAAGAGAAAGTGCTTCTACACTGGCATAAAATTTCTGTTTGGCTTGGGTAATTCCTGCTTTTAAGGCATCATTCAGTTTAAAGTCAAGTTTCTGTACTGCTCTGGAAGAGTCTACTGAAGCAGGCTGGGACTGAGGGCTGATGGCTGGTGCCTTGGTGCTATCTTTAAAAACCTCGTTCTGGAACCTGAGCACAGCCACACCATCTCCCCAGGAATGTTCAAAATTAATTCCTGCAGTGCCATCCTTAGTTATGATGAGACTGAAGGATTTGTCAAACCAGCGGTTAGCACCATCTCCGTGCAACATCGTGCGGGACAAGTGCACCAGGTCTTTAGTGGGAAAATCATCTAAACTCAAACAAAACACTGCAGAGTCTACTTTCTGAAGAGCTTCTTCATTGCCACTATCCAGCAGATTCTTTCTCAACAATGCCCATGTATCTCTGTTTTCACTGGTGAGGTAGCCAAGAGGGAAGGCTGGAGCTGGACTGTTGTCACTAAGGATGTATTTCAAGTGTGCTTGGATCTCTGAAGGCTTCAGTGTATTTCCATCTCTATCAAGGACATCAAATACATAAAAGTTCCCGTTTCTCAGTACCAGTAAATGTTTTGCCTTTTCATCTGTATAAAGCTCATCTCTGTTGAGCTTAGGCAGCCTTGTGGAGTTGAAAAGCCTAAAGTACTGAGACATATCCAGGGGGTAAGCATTGACCATGTAGGCACCAAACCATGAAAGCGAAGAAGGCACAAAACGGATAATTTTTTTAAACATCTGAGTGTCACTTTTTTCCGGATTGAGGTGAAAAACCTCTGGTTCAAGATAACCAGCCCTGAAGGTTTTCATAAAACGTAAAGCAGAAACAGTCATGTTTGTAGCTCGTGTGAGCTGATCGTTATATTCAGATTTTGGATCAGGATTAAAAGACATAAATGGATTAAAATTCAAAACGACAGATTCACGTGCTTTTAGGTACATGTCAAACCAGGGACCTGAAAAGGGAGAGAGGAGAAATAGGTCAGAACAGAAAAGCAGCTTATTGAGCCAGACCAGTGGTTCATATAGTCAATATCCTGCCTCCAGCAGCGATCATGAAGTCCACACAAACAAGACAAACATACACAGTAATTCCCCCCCAGGATTCTCCCAGCCCTTAATTATGAAGAAAGGTACTGTTGGGTAATTGTAAAACTCCTGTATTTGGAGCAATCCCTATCAAGAGTGTCAACATTATCAACAAGAGCCAATTTCCATGCTTTCTCCTGAGACATACCATGCAGCTCCACAGCACTGCATTTTGGTGCACACCTCACATCTGGAGTGGAACATGCTTCTATCTATTCCTAAGTTAATAATTTCTGCAACTCTCTGTCACTGAGAGTACGCTTCTCTTTAGAATCACCTTTCTTTCTCACCCAGTATTTCCCTCATTCCTGGCAGCATTCCTCCATCTACATTTGCTGCCTTGCATTTCCACCTCCTTCTCCTTTCTGTCCACTGAAATGATCAGCACAGGGTAAACTCTTAGACACCACTGGTCCCTCAAGCTGACAGAAAGACGAGGTTAGAGGGAACCTCACAGTTACCCTTCTAGGCTCAGAACAGACTTCGGAAAGCAGGACTGATTACTTTTGATACCCACAGATCTTTTAGTCAGTCTGTCAGCATATCAAGAAGCATAGATGGGCTGCAAAGGTTTTGTGCTTGTCAAAACCAATGGAATCAAACACAGCTTTAAAAAGTAGTCACACCTTTAAACCTGCCCATGAGTAAACAAAAACCCAGGGGGAATTGGCAGAGGAGGGATGTTTTTAATAGGTTTTGTTTCATCATCATCAGCAACTTCAAACTCAGTAAGCTCTGGTATTGCACACTGACTGGATGCAGATCAAGGAGGCAAGTGCACCCCAAGGCAATTGACATACTGAAAAATATTTCAAGCCTGTATCAGACCCAAGAAGAGCCTTCTAACTGGGCTATAAAAGGGCACCAGGTAACTCAAGGACCCAAGTTAAAATTTTAATTCAGATCCTCACAGATGAGTCACTAGCATTCATCTACAGTTTTAAAACCACATCTGTCATCATCACAAAGCCTTTTAACCTTGGACTTGAAAGTCCAGGGTGTAGACAACTATACATATTTTCAGAAACCAGTTTCAAGTGGAACAGGTCTTTTATGAGGCCTGAAAAAGAATAACAACTATATAAAAAGGAATAAAATCACTCCACAGTTCATGGACAAAAGGCAGCATGCTGGTTACCCTTGACAAACTCCACAAAGCCACCAGTTTAAACAGCCACCAGTTTAAATGCCTGATGTTCAAAGTGAAGGGAAAGGAAAAGATAACAAGCATCAGCTTTTGTGAAACTTCTGGTATTCTCTAAATAACTGGTGGCAGCTAACACCCTTCTAGGTAGTCTTAATATACAGCAAGGATAGAAGTGCATTTGCTGAACAACACGCAAGCTTCTACTTCCACAAGTATTTGAGTATTTCCACCTCTGCTGCTATCCATCTAATACTTTCATAAGCAGAAACTTCTATTTGGAAGTCAGTGAAAATGACAATAAGGAAGAATAGTAGAAAAACTATATGCATACTCTCCCTCTCTTATTTTTTCTTTACACTCATCTTCCTCTTTCTGTCTCTCCTTTTCTTCTGCTCTTTATAAGAATACTGTTTTGTAGTTTTAGGGGGTTTTAAGTTCAGAGCACTGATCACTTCTGCCTCCCAAAGCTTAGTCATATACTCTGAACCCCTATCAGAGTTCAGTTTTCTTGCTAAATAACTTGTAATTATTTGAAAATTATTGCTTTAGTTTCCTTAGGGGAGTTATCAGTTAAGCTCCTCTATAACCTAACTTATAAATAGAGAGCAATGAGAAAAAAGATAAAGCCTGTAACCTAAAATTTAAATACAGTAACTCATGAACACATACTGTTTCTTCAATATCCATCTGTCCAGAATTCTGGTATATAAAACTTAGATGATGTGCATTCTTAACTCCACCAGAAACTCAGAATTTGCTCAAAAAACAGTTACAGGCAGTATTCACATCATGTTATTCCAAGTTTATGGAGCAGGAAACTTAAGCTTCAGCCCATTTTATTTGCAGCATTATGGGCTGTTACTGAGCATGATGATCTACATATTCCTTCTATATCTAGTCGGTCAACGTACCTGTGATGTAACTAGTATGCTTGTTCTGATTGTCTTGAGCAACCAGTTGCTCGTGCAACTCTCTTCCAATTCCCTTCTCAAAACGATGAGCAAGCTCTTCAGTTTTCCTGCAGCAATCATTCAAGAGACAAAATGCATTACAAGCCATACTTTTACATGCAACACTTGTCTTTTGAAGCAAGCACACCATACTGCAGCATGTGTATCTTGTATCTTGTCCATACCTGAATTGGTCATCATTCAGAAGCGGTTTCTGGGCATTTAGGTATCTCCTTATTGTATCTTCTAGTTTGGGAATTGGCAATCTGAAGGAATGGGAACAGAGACACATGCACTTTATGAGCAGTGGCACTAGTGAAGCCTCTGTTTCTCACCCAGTAGTCTCTCTTTGCCTCCCTTCTTTCTTACCCTTCCTTATACCCTGTATTATCCAAATGACTCAAAAGTTGCTTGTGGAAGAGGAGGAGAAAGGGAATAAACGGACATATATCATCACAGCATAACGTTCTCAGAAAACAAGCTAGAAAACCAATTTCATTCTCTTGTTACAAAGGTACTGCAGAGAAGGGTGTTAGAACCTCACAGGCAATACAACGACACGAACTGTTGCACGGAGGAGCAGCTCTATAGAAGGAAGGTTCAGTTCTGTAGCCACCTCTGCATTAGAATTTCCCTCACTGCTGGGTGCTGCACATTTACTTTCCACTGCAAGTTTCCTCATCGCTATCTTTCTCATTTTCCTCTCAGCCTAACACGAAAATGCCCCTCCTACGACAAAACAATTCCACTCCACCAGCGAAGGTTACTTTGCAACCTGAAGAGATGTCTCAGTGTTGGGTTAATGGTCACATTTAACCTTCTACAAATAAAACCATTCCTCTCCGCTATGATTTCCGAGCAGCACATGCCACACGGAGCAGCACAGCCCGGACACATTCTTCATACAGAGAGGAGGGAGAGGGCATTTTCTCTGCCCTCTCCTCAGAGCGGACACCCCAGGGCCGCCACCGACCTCTAACCCGCGTCCCCCCGGTGCCCCGCGGCCTCCGCTCGGGACGTTCCCTGCAGGCCTCGTCCGGCCGCCCCCGCGGAGGGCGCGGGGCCCGGCGGGGGGC